TATAAAGGCAATGATTAAATTTGCAAAGCTCCTCCACCGTAGAGGTTTTCATATAATCTTTGTTAACACAGAGTTCAATCACAAGCGCTTTCTTAAATCTTTAGGACCCAATTCCCTTGATGGCTTGCCGGATTTTCAATTTGAAGCCATCCCAGATAGCCTTCCAGATTCAAATGAAGACACCACACAAGATATCACTTTGCTTTGTGAGTCCGTCAGAAAAAATTTCTTGGCTCCCTTTCATACCCTCCTTGCAAAACTCAACAATGATGCCATAGAAACATCCAGCAATCCTCCAGTGACTTGCATAGTTTCAGATGGTTTCATGTCCACGTTCACAATCATAGCTGCTGAAGAAATTGGAGCCCCCATAGTGCTGTTCTACACTATAGCTGCCTGCAGCTTCATGGGATTTATACAACTTCGCGCTGTGGTCGAAAAAGGACTTGCTCCACTCAAAGGTGAAATATATAACTATTAATTAAAGCAATTGTTGTTTCTAAACATGCAAATGAAATGTTTCTTCAATTGAATTTCATTTGTCTATTGCAGATGATGAGAGCTGTTTCACAAATGGCTATCTGGACACCGTACTAGATTGGATCCCGGGAATGAGAGATATCCGATTGAGGGATCTCCCGACCTTCTTGCAAACCACAAGTGCAGATGACACCATCTTTAACTTCGTCATGGAAGCAACCGATAGAGCTCATGAAGCTTCGGCAGTTGTTCTTCATACTTTTGATGCCTTGGAGTCAGATGTTTTGGATGCTCTCTCATCTATGCTTCCCCATGTGTACACCGTTGGCCCTCTTCAATTGCATCTCAATCAGATACCAGAACACCCTTTGAAAATGGGATACAGTCTATGGAAAGAAGAAACTGAATGCCTCGAGTGGCTAAACACCAAGGCACCAAACTCAGTTGTCTATGTGAATTTCGGCAGTATAGCAGTCATGACACCAGAACAGCTTGTAGAGTTTGGGTGGGGACTTGCAAATAGCAAGCTTCCATTCTTTTGGGTAATTAGACCTGATCTAGTTATTGGAGAATCCGCTATTTTGCCGCCTGAGTTTGTGGCTGAAACTAAGGAAAGAAGTCTAATAGCTGGGTGGTGCCCACAAGAGCAAGTCCTTAACCACCCATCAGTTGGAGGATTTTTAACGCACAGCGGTTGGAATTCAACAGTTGAGAGCATTACTGCAGGAGTTCCTATGCTCTGTTGGCCATTCTTCGGAGACCAGCAAATGGACTGTCGCTATACTTGCAATGAATGGGGCATTGGCATGGAGATCAGTAATGATGTGAAGAGGGATGAGGTAGAGAAGCTTGTCAAAGAGTTAATGGTGGGAGAGAAGGGTAAGAAGATGAAAAATAAGGTCATGGAGTGGAAGAAACTTGCAGAAGAAGCTACTGGTCCACATGGTTCTTCATCCATAAACTTGGACAATTTAGTGAATCAAGTGCTATTAAGAAAAAGCTAAAGATGTTACCATAAGAATATTGATCATGATATCTTCCAGTGTGACTGCCAATTGCAGAGATTATTATACTGCCAATATTCTTTTTAGTCATTATACACAGCTCACAATACTTTCACACAAAAATTTACCAAACACTCAACAACTTATTATTGTACCAGCATCACTTTTAATAAAAAGTTTGTCAAACGTCAAACTACTTTCTATCACAACTGATTTCTCTCACAGCAAATCTGACTGTGATTATTTTCACATCACAACAATGCCAACTACTAGCCTTGTTTTAAATTCTTATTTCAATTCCTACATGGTTTAGGATTCGTATTTTAATCTTATTTCCTACCCACTATAAATAAGGCTTTTAGGAAGTCATATTATTACTAGCAAAGGCGCCGGCGCAATGCTGCGGTTTTGAAATTGCGTCAAATGTGTATAAAGTCGTTAAAATATGTAGGGAAGAAAGTGACAAATTTACAATAAATATTTTTTAGAAAAAGTAAAAACTTAAAATGGAACCAAGTGAAAGCAGAGAAAACTACCAAAGGCTACAGTGGAGCATAAAGCATTTAAGTTTTTGAGAGAAATGTGTAGAGAAATAGGGTGTAGAAGGTGTGGATCAAGGATTGAAATATCGGCCGATACACCAATATATCGGTATTTTCAACTATCGACACTAATACTACGGGGTAAGGCCATATCTTTCCCTGTATCGACGATATATCCCCGATAAGTGCAATATTTCCGATATTTTGCCGATATCCCCGATATTTCCCAATACCCATAACAAAACCCAAAAAAAATTCAAAAGTTTTGAAAGCAATTGAAACAAATTGAAACCCAAAAATAGCTAATCCTTGCCCAGAATCCTATAATTTATTAATATGGAGAATCTTTGCACAGTCCATTGCCCACATACCTCCAATCCATCTAAAGAGGACATGGCGATCAATTTTGGATCTATGAGCATAGAAACTAGACCTAGTACTAACTCAAATGAATCTTATGATGGCTATGGTTATGTCATGTCTGATTATAGTGGAACTAGTTATGGAGTTTAAGATGATGAAACAAATTATGGACCTACTAGTTGGGTTAATCCTAACTATCACATATATGGGAGGACAGTAGGGAGCTCAAGAGATACCTATGTGCACCATGTTCAAACATGGCTTACAAACTGCTTGGGTTACATGACTTGATATGACTATTGTATGACTTGATATGACCATTTCTACTTTTCCCTCCTCTTCCTCTGTTTCCCGAGAAAGCAAATGAACAGAATCAGCCAAATATCACCACAAACCAAATATATGGTAGTTAATTAAATGCCAAAGAAGTGCCAAAGAATCATTGAGCATACAAAAATAAAAAATCTGAGTCACGACTTGCAGAAGATTAGCCCTTTGCTGGTAGCTCCTTTCACTTGCAAAGTCCTTGGTGTTCCAGTGCCACAACTTCTTCAGTACTTGCTGCACAATCCAAGCTCTACAGTACTTGATGCACAATCCAAGCCCTGCAAGCTACACTGGTATTTGTTATGGGTTGCCATAAAAGGAAATTTTCATTCTTAAGGGTCAGTGTGTAAGAATCTATAAATGCGTTGCAAAACTTCCACAAATATCAAATCAAACAACAGCTTAGTGGCGGCATGTATGTACCAAATTGTGGCATCCTATTTTAGCTTATAAATTGTCAAATAAGAAATCTAAATACGCATACTACAGGACGCATTCATATCATATAAATTGAAAGGATGAACCAATATTTTGCAAAAGCACAAAATTTTATTAACATCTCAACAAACCTAGAGGATAAAAACAGATAATCAAATCAATCATGAAACGGAGAATTACAAACAGAATATGCACACATAAGCCTCCTTCACATCTGCCAACAAAGCCAAACATCAAATACAAAATGCGATTCAAATGACATGACATCACCAAATGGGTATTCTTCAAGAATAAAACCAACCTTCTTGAAGCATACCCATCTAAGTTATAATATGCAGTGGAAAAGAGAATAAAAAAAACCCCCAAGCATCTTAGTACCCTAACATGGAAAAAGAGAGAGCATAATTTAGAATTCTGTAACAGAAATTGTCTCATTATATTAAACAGAAATAAATAAATAAAAGTGAATTTAAGGCTGAGATGTAATCGACTTATTGAAAAAAAAAATTGAGGATGAGAGAACAATTGACAAACCTCTTTGCTAGTCCAAATGCGGAACCCTACTCCGTTTTTTCTTGTAGCACCTTCGAAGTCAGTCAACATTCTGTGTTGTTCTACAAAAGATATTTACAAACACAGAACGTCATAAAACACCTTTATTTAAATTTTTTCAACACAAAAAATCCGGAACCAAAATATTTGACGAAATTCCACTAAAGGAAGAAAAAAATAAATTAAAGAGAGGGAGAGAGAACAATGTATACCGCAACCTCTGTACATATACACCGGCTCTGTCCCACAACAGCAGCAAGGGCAATGGCAAGCCCCTATTCACGCACAAACAGTCACCTCAAAGTCCAAAGTATCAAAAGCTTGTTCAATCCCATCAGAGGGAGAAATAAATCAAAATTAATAAAAGGGAAAGAAATTGAAATACAGTGGAGGCAATTAAAAGATGCAAACCTTGTTTCTATTTCAAAGTCCATGAATAGATTCATAGCAAGAAAGACTCAAACTTCATTGTAATTCCAAGCACATGCAAGAAAGAACAAAGGCACCAAATTTTCAATCCAACATAATTATAGAACAAAGACTCAAACTTTTGCCTTTATGTCCTTGAGATTCCACAGAAACCCAAGTGATTTCAACAAAAAGTACTAATGTTATTAAGTGGGTGACCTCAAACGCTCTTATAAGCATAATATTGAACTCCTACCCACAAAACAGCAGTAAAATGTTTAAAAAGATGAATTTTTTTGTTTGAATGATCTTATATTGAACCAACCATCTTTACCTTCTAGTTGAGAGACTGGTCGATTAGTTCAGAATATCAGCTCCCAATCATATTTCCTTTTAGATGTAAATAGATATTAAGCTCCCAGGATTCATTATCCACATGCTCAAATAGAGAAAGACTGAGAGATCTTGCCTGCTTAATAATTTTTTGTTTGAGAACCTAGGAGAGACCGTCGGTCCCAGACGATTGATCATGTCATTCCTTCCTCTTCCTCTGTTTCTCGAGAAAGCAAATAAACAGAATCAGCCAAATATCACCACAAACCAAAAGTCTGGTAGTTAATTAAATGCCAAAGTATGAAGTGCTAAAGAATCATTGAGCATGCAATAAACAGAAATCTAAGTCACCACTTGTAGAAGATTACCCCTTTGCTGGCAACTCCTTTTTTTCTTTTTTCTTTTTTGATAAAGTTGGGGGGCAAAACCCCAAAAAAAAACCCGAAAGCCTAACCAGTACAAATCAAACGGCCTCGAGTGACCCCTAACAGATCATCAGCTAACGCAGAGCTAGCCCAGATAGGAGCTGAAACAAAAAACTGAATATCTAAGTCTAGATTATGGCTCCATTTGGCAAGGCAATCCGCCAAACCATTCTTCTCTCTAAAAATATGCTAGATATTCCAACTCTCAAAATGTCTAAGCATCTTCCCATATAGTTTGAGAGCAAAGCAGCTAGAGGATGGAAACATAGAGAATCCCTTTGTTGGAATAGATTCATAGCAATATGAGAATCCATTTCTATGAGGATCTTGGTGAAGCCCTTTGCCACTGCTAATCGGAGGCCAAAAAACAAACCCCAGATTTCAGCATCCAAAATACGCCCTTTCCCCAAATTCACTGCAAAACCTCCACACCACTCCCCAAAGCAATCTTTAATCACACAACTAGCACCAATTTTCCCAGAAGCATTCATGCAAGTGCCATCCACATTGAGCTTAACCCACCCACTTCCAAGCGGCTCCCACCTTAGCATAACCTGAGTTCTAGGCACATTCCTACAATTCACACTAGAAGCCTTAACCCAATCCAAAACAGCAGCACAAATAATATTCCTAGGATCACAAGACAAGTCCTCAGCATCATTAAAAATGTATTGGTTACGCCATTTCCATACATACCAACAAGTGAAACAAACATGATATTCCAAGGAGACCTCCCTTCCCACTTAGCTTTAGAAAAGAGATTGCTCCGAAGCCAAGAAGGATAATCAGATAAGAAAAAATCATGGAATTTACTTGGAGGTAGAACAGTAAGCCATACTTCCTTAGCACGCCCATAATCCCTAAGAGTGTGAATGATATTTTCAGAGTGCCAACCACATACAGAACAAGAGGACTCCACAGCTAAATGTCTCCTAACTCTTTGCTCATTAGTTAGGATCTTACCTTGGAAAACAAGCCATAAGAAAACTTTCAACTTAGGCGGGAGAGACATACTCCACAGACCCTTCCAACAAGCATCGGACCAATTAGAACCCCCATGGATCAGCTGAAAAGCATATTTAACAGTAAAGATGCCATTAGAAGTAGGCCTCCATATCTGAGCATCTTGACTATTACCTCCAAAACCAACAGGAAAAGAAGGTGATCTTTTGCACCATATCCTCATCAAGAACAGTTCTTAACTTCTCAACATCCCACCACCCTTCTTTAAAGAAATTAGAGACCTTGCAGTCCAAATCGATCCCTGACTACACCCCTGTATAATGTAACAAAGGGAGATCAACCACCAATTGGTCCTTCCAAAAATTCACCTTGTCCCCATTCCCCACTCTCCAAACCATTCACTTTCTCAGCAGCTCAACACCATAGACAAACACTTCTCCAAGTAGCAGAAACAATCTTTCTTGGAGACCCTAGAAGTATCCAAGATAGAGCAGTCCTTTAGGTACTTCTTTTCATAAATTTGAGCCCATAACCCTTTATCATGAGTGTGCATCCTCCAACCAATCTTTGCTAAAAGAGCCTTATTCATGTCTGCAGTTTTCTTGAATTCTAAACCACCCCTACATTTAGGACGACACACCAAGTCCCACTGGCATAAATGTACCTTTTGCTTTTTTCCACTGCCTCCCCAAAAAAAAATCCATATTAATTCAATCAAGATCTTCACAAATGCTACCTGGTAACTTAACAGTCTGCATCGTATACACAGGTATGGAAGATGTGACAGCTTGGATGAGGGTAGCTCTGCCTTGCTGGCAGCTCCTTTCACTTACAAACTCCTTAGTGTTCTAGACAACAGTAAAATGCTACAATATGATTAAAATTGGTTGAGTAAGATAACTAATAATCTTAAATTTGATGAAGTGAGGCATTGGAGGGGTTCTCATACCTCCGAAGTGATGACACCACGAAAGTGTCTCTCTTTTGAGCATAAATCAAACACAACCCAAAACAATAAATAAATAAATAAATAATCACTATATCAATCAACAAAAACGATTAAAAAGGAAAATCAAAACAAAAACCAAATAATAAATATAACTAACAATTAAACCCTCTTCAATTATACACCAAGCGAAGAAGAACCATTGCTAAATGAAGCAAGGAAATTACATAATATTACAAATGAAACTAAGCTCTAGTTATCTCCATGTGCTCAAAAATCAAACCCAATCGAATGCATCTTCGTGGTTTAATGAATATGGCACTTTGCAGTTCAAATATCTTTTATATGCAAATAACTTCCATTTAGGGATTCCTCAAATAACTTATTTGAGGGACACCCTTATAGGGTCCACTTCACATTGTATTTCACTAATGAAGAATAAGGCCATGGAGTGGAAAACACTGGCAGAGGAAGCGACTGGTCCACACGATTCTTCGTCCACAAACTTAGACAATTTAGCTAATCAAATGCAATCAAGAAAAATCTAGATGTTCTCTGCATCCACAAACTTAACAAGATCATGAACTGCAAGCCTAGAAGTTTTGTTCAGCTACAAGTTTTAAATTGATCTTAGTGTTCCAATATCTGTTATGGTTTTAAGATCTAATATTAATCACTGAAAGATACAAGATAAGATTGAACAGAGGAACAATTTTTTTTATTTTTTTATATAGCAATGAAAATTGAGATGGTAACCAAACATTTTAGCAGTATATAAAAAGGGTAAATAATGAACCAAATTATCGTATAGCATCTTCCTTAATTTATCCTTACACGCCAAGAAACGAAAGTCCAAGTCTCTGTCTTTTTGTCTTGATTGATCAAGTAGTTTCCTCGTTGTCTTGATCAACTGATTTTTCTTTGCACGGATATTTGTGTGTCGAAAATTTGACTATCTATCAACCATGACTAACTTCTAGATTATATTATTATAAAAATTTAATCATAATTTGTAGACTATTAGTTATTTATATTATTATAAGAAACAATTTCTACCCACAATTTTTACATTATCTATACAATCATAAGTTGACTATCTATCAATCAATGACGAACTTTTCGAAATACTTGACCAACATGAGTTTATAAATTCAAAAAGATTTCAAACATTTAATCATATTTTGTTGACTATTAGTGATGTAACAATTTCTACTATATATATATATATATATATATATACAGTCCCCTTCAGTTGAGGGATCCCTCAAATAGTGTTATTTGAGGGATTGGGTGCTCAGCCGTGGATCTCTTTTAATGAACTTGTGTGGCTGTGATTCTTTTAAATGTTTTAACCCGTTGGAAAACTCCTGACCCAACACAAACTCCACTTACGTTGGGAATGACGTACGCTGGAAACCAAACGTCTTTCTTCTTCCTCCAACGCTTGGAGACCTTTCACGCAAACCAAACGACGTGAAGAAGAAGACTCACCATCGTCAGTTGAAGAAGAAGACCCACCATCGTCAATTGAAGAAGAAGACCCACCATGAAAACTCCTGACCCGAAAAAATAAAACCAAGCGATCCGAAAAAATAAAACACGATGGCTGAGTTTGTGGAGTGCACGAAGAAGATGAAGAGCCCTCCCTTCCAAGACGAAGGAAGAGCTGCCATCGCGAGAGTTGAGCTTGCAAGAATTCTATGCCAATCAGGTAGGTGTATCCATAGCGGTGTTTATGTTTCGTCTAAATCTGGGTTGTGATTTTCGAATTGGGGTTCTGCAATTGGTTTTTAATTTAAACAATTTTCCCCAAAAAAAAAAAAAAAAAAAAAAAAAAAAAAAAAAAAAAAAAAAAAAAAAAAAAAAAAAAAAAAAAAAAAAAAAAAAAAAAAAAAAAAAAAAAAAAAAAAAAAAAAAAAAAAAAAAAAAAAAAAAAAAAAAAAAAAAAAAAAAAAAAAAAAAAAAAAAAAAAAAAAAAAAAAAAAAAAAAAAAAAAAAAAAAAAAAAAAAAAAAAAAAAAAAAAAAAAAAAAAAAAAAAAAAAAAAAAAAAAAAAAAAAAAAAAAAAAAAAAAAAAAAAAAAAAAAAAAAAAAAAAAAAAAAAAAAAAAAAAAAAAAAAAAAAAAAAAAAAAAAAAAAAAAAAAAAAAAAAAAAAAAAAAAAAAAAAAAAAAAAAAAAAAAAAAAAAAAAAAAAAAAAATCTCTAGGTTTGGACCGTTGGATGGTCCTGAAGTTATAATATGTTGATCTAAGTATTACCAGGATCGTGTAGGATTCGACGGATCGTAGAACGGAGTCCCGGATACTCCGAAACGCCAACCCTGGGGTTAGGGTTTTAGTAACCGTCCGATCGTGTGATCGTGAGCGATCCGACCGTCCGATCTGGACCAAACTTGCAGGACATGTGTCCTAGAGCCTGTAGAACCTCTAGGAACTTTCGGATCGGAATTTGGAGGTTGTGGGCCCCGCAGGCCGTTTGACCCTAGGTTGACCGTGAGACTTCCGAGATAGTCTTACCTTTCCTTGAGGGTTAGGATGACCTTAGTGACAGGTCTTGAGCGTTGTTGAGTTAAATGGATATTGTGGGTTTAGGATATAAATTGGTGAATTTAAATGTGGGAGTTTATGGAGTGTTTTATTGGTTGATGAAATTATATGATATATTTAATTAATTGTGTGGATGTATAATGATATATAAGGAGATTGAATGTTAGTTTACAGTGCTATACGCACTACCCCACGTACCCCCTATTGTGATTATGTTGAGGCCCAAGTGATAGTGTGAGGTCGCACGCGTCTTTGGATTAGCCGGCGTGTTGACAGACCCCGTACGTGGCCGGGTGCGTCCCGACGTATGAGTGGGAGATATGATGGTATGATGGCTGGTGAGAATGTAGCCAGGCCCAGTGTGAGGTCGCACGCGTCTTTGGATTAGCCGGCGTGTTGACAGACCCCGTACGTGGCCGGGTGCGTCCCGACGTATGAGTGGGAGATATGATGGTATGATGGCTGGTGAGAATGTAGCCAGGCCCAGTGTGAGGTCGCACGCGTCTTTGGATTAGCCGGCGTGTTGACAGACCCCGTACGTGGCCGGGTGCGTCCCGACGTATGAGTGGGAGATATGGTGTGTGATGGCTGGTGAGAATGTAGCCAGGCCCAGTGTGAGGTCGCACGCGTCTTTGGATTAGCCGGCGTGTTGACAGACCCCGTACGTGGCCGGGTGCGTCCCGACGTATGAGTGGGAGATATGATGGTATGATGGCTGGTGAGAATGTAGCCAGGCCCAGTGTGAGGTCGCACGCGTCTTTGGATTAGCTGGCGTGTTGACAGACCCCGTACGTGGCCGGGTGCGTCCCGACGTATGAGTGGGAGATATGATGGTATGATGGCTGGTGAGAATGTAGCCAGGCCCAGTGTGAGGTCGCACGCGTCTTTGGATTAGCCGGCGTGTTGACAGACCCCGTACGTGGCCGGGTGCGTCCCGACGTATGAGTGGGAGCTATGTGATTATGTTGGGTGTGTTGTGATGGATAAACCCGAGAATGTATGAATTTATATGGATGTGATGGTTTAATTGATATCAGGAGCCAGGATTGATAGGAAAGAGCTACGTGTGGCTTGATCCCTTAGTAGGGTACGTAGGCAGCCTGGGATAGCGCCTAGGTGCAGCCACGACTTAGACACCACTTAGGTGGTTTTATCGAGTATGATGCGGACCTCGTGGTTGGTCCCGAAACTTGGTTGAATTGAGGCTTGTCCGGTGGACTGAGTGAGTGAAGGTGTGTATGGATGGATTTTGATTGGATAGTGCATGTTTGATGCATGGAGTTATTTTAAAAGCAGTGTGAGTAGTTCTGCTAGAATCATCTGAAGGCCGGAGGCCATTTATGTAAATTGCATGAGATTGTATTGTGCGTGCTGCTGGTTGGGTTATAAAATGTGTTTTATGCAGGTGGAAATTTTGGGGAATGTTCAATTTACAGGGGAGACTCTGCCGAAATTTTGGCAGAAAGTCTCGTGCCCTAAATCCTCTCTAGTAAAAGAGGACATAGTTTTAAGGAGTGAACCCGGCGTGGGTGTGATGCCGGGGTCTCCGCAGGGTTCGTCTCGGGTTTCGGGAAATTCGGGGCGGGTCCTGTCACAAACAAATCTAACCATCTCTGGTTCACCTAAAGCTTTTGTCACAGCAAGATTATGGAAGAAAAATTTACCCATTTTCATTTCAACTGAGCCATGAATCAATGTGTACAATGTACTTAAATACAGTTTAATTGTTTATTATATGCCTTAATAATAATGCATAATAGTATGCAATACCTAACAGCAGCAAAAAGAGTAGTTTGAGAAGTCAAATAAACCAATTTATTTAAAAATCTATATATGTAAAGCAAAAGGCAGAGAATGGTGAAACATTCAAAATACCAGAAAATGTCATTGGTTAATTCAAACATTAAGAATGCCCTTGGTTAATTCAAACATTAAGAATTGAAATTATTAATTAAATAAGGATAATATGGTAAATTCACATTGTTTCATATTAAAAAAAATTAAAATTAAAAACAAAATCAGATAATAGATCCTACTTTTATGGAACATAACTACCCATATTATATTTTCTTCATTCTAAGAATAAATAAATAAATAAAACCAATTGGCACATGCATGAACATGTGCCAAGGGGTATTTATAAGACCCCGAAATAAGGTCAGTTTTTGACTTCTAGGCTTTCTCAAAAGTCCTAATCTATAAGAAAAAAGGATACAGGATTTTGGAAAGAGCAAGGGTTACATGAGTTACTTAATTCTAAATGTCCCAAAAAGGGGAAAAAAACAAAACAGGAAGAGACAGTCTCCTAGCCAAAATTGATAGATTATTATTGTTTCATAATTAATAATTACAGCTAATTACTTATTTATTAGTGTATTTGAAATTATCACTTTCATAGCTGTAATTAAAACAAAAATACAGTAGGGTTTATAAGATATATAAGAAAAGCATTCATAACCTGCTTGCATTATCTCCTCCCCAGTTTTTTGTCAGCAGTCTCCAGTTCGTACGTATCATACAATCTCTCACTCTCTATCTCACAATGTTTGTTCATTTTCTTCTGAATCTACATTTAATTATTCATTTCTATATTTCTGATTCCTTTTCTTTTGTAGCATAATGATATTCCATCATATATATATATATTTGATTTCTTTTTCTTCTTCCAATTTCTTTTTTTTTATAAATATTTTAGGGGTACATTGATTGGTCAAACAATTATAAAAACTAGGGTGTCAGCTATAATTTATATCTTGATCATTGTGATATCAACTTGCTCACATGAGATTCCTAGGGCACTAGATATAATTATTAATACAACCTAAAGATCAGAAAATTATTAATACAAACATCATTTGTCTAGTTTCAGACGTTGTTCTGCATTGATTTCCAGACTAAAGTTTGCAGCTATGCCTTCTCCTGGTTTGCAAACAACACTGGTTCTTAGTGTTAATTATCTCTTATTTGTTAGATATTAATTCTTTCTTTCTCTATAAAATGTGCAGTCATGATGCAGATCATGAAAAGTATGCTGATGTGAACTGGGATGAACTTGAATTTGGAGTAGTTCCAACTGATTACATGTACACCATGAAGTGTTCCAAAGGAGATGAGTTTTCACAAGGCCATCTAACTCCCTATGGAAACATTGAGCTCAGCCCATCTGCTGGAGTTTTGAATTATGGACAGGTTAATTAGCACTAAGCAGCAACAATTTAATAATTAAGTATAGCTTGTTCTGTCACATTTCTTATTTTTTGTGTATCCAACTTTTGGTCACATAAATATATGTGGTGGTGCCATGATCAGGGCTCATTCGAAGGCCTTAAGGCGAACAGGACAGAAGATGGTCGGTTTCTGCTGTTTCGGCCTGAAGAGAATGCTCTAAGAATGAAGATGGGTGCAGAGAGAATGTGCATGCCATCTCCATCTCCTCGGCAATTCCTTGATGCTGTAAAGCAAACAGTCCTTGCCAATAAGCGTTGGGTAGCCTCATTTTCGCTTTAGATCCTGCACTTCTGGTTTGCAATGTGGTTTGCACAAGGGTGTTCATAAATGCTGAAATCTACTCCTTGATCACTTAATATGTAAATGTATAGGTACCCCCTACAGGGAAAGGAACACTGTATCTTAGGCCGTTGCTCATTGGAAGTGGATCTGTTCTTGGCTTGGGGCCAGCGCCAGAATACACGTTCCTAATATTTCTTCTCCTGTAGGTAGTTATCACAAGGTGAGTTGAGCAAAACCATTAAACAGTGTGTCATCAAGATATGATGAAGTTAGGCTAATTTCTGATACTTAGTTTTGCGGTTTTTTTTTTTGGTCGAATTATACTTAGTTTTGTGGTTGTTGTGTATGCGACAGGGCTGGGCAGCACTCAACTTGTACGTTGAGGATGAACTCCATCGAGCTACTCCCGGTGGAACTGGAGGTGTCAAATCCATCACCAACTACTCACCTGTAAGCATAACTTATATGGATTTTAGTTTTTCAGATGGAAAAATTAGTTGCTTCTTCTGAGTTGTGTGTGTTCCCATGAATATAAACAAACTTATCTCATAACCACTTAGACTTAATGACTAGATTGCTGCTGATCTTTAACACAGAATGAGGCTAACATATCAACAAAATTCATCAATTTGAATTGATTACTGTAAAATTGCTCACTTTGGGTTTTTTTTTTTGTAGGTTTACCTAGCACAAAAGCAAGCAAGGGCCAAAGGGTTCTCTGATGTCTTGGATATTAATTCTTTCTTTCTCCATGAAAATTTATAGCCATGATGCAGGGGAAGAGTATGCTGATGTCAACTGGGATGACCTCAAATTTGGGGTAATTCAAACTGATTACATGTACACCATGACTTTTCACAAGGACATTTCACTCCCTATGGAAAGGTTGAGCTCAACCCATCTGCTGGAGTCTTGAACTACGGACAGGTTAATTAGCACTTAGCAGCCCCCTTTATGGTTTTAATTAGTTTGAACCACAATGAGCCACAACCTAATAATTAGATTTTTATGTATTAGTAGCAGCATTGGTGTATGTTGTTGCATCCAGCTGTGTTTCTAGCTAGCTAGCTTTTCTGTGACATGTTCTTACTATATGGTGTGCCATGATCAGGGCTTATATGAAGGTCTTAAGGCAAACAGGACAGAAGACGGCCGGTTTCTGCTCTTTAGTCCTGAACTTAATGCTCTAAGAATGAAGATGGGTGCAGAGAGACTGTGCATGCCATCTCCTTCTACTCAGCAATTCACTGATTCTATAGAGCAAACAGTCCTAGCCAACAAGCGTTGGGTATTGACATTTTCACTTCGGACCCTACACTTCTGGAATTTACAATTCAACTACTTAGTTTTCGATATGATTGCACCAGGTGTTTTACAATTCAACTACTTTTACCAATCGATATTGACTCAGTATATAAGTGCAAAACATGTTATAAATCCATTTTATTTATGAACCTACAAAAACTCCTATACCTACGTTTTATTACTCAACAATACACTACTCACCGTACTATTTAGACCAAAATTGGGTCAGTTGCATGTAATGATGAAATTAAATGTTTTGAAGTCCTCTGCTATTACTACAATTTGTGTGCAAATCCAAGCCATCCATTAAAGTGAAGTCAAGTGGGGATATTGATTGAATGGTTTAGATTAGTGCATCTCAAGAACTGAAGTTGAATTAAATTAGACAGGTAGGAGGGAAATTGGGCCAAGACGCCAAGTGCAAAGCAGGACTAGTTTTTATATGTAAAACCATAAGGCGCAAACACAGCAGTAGGCAGGCACTGAAGAAGCTTCACGCATTGCTCTCTCGTAGCAGAATGGGAGCCATTGCCTTTGCCCCCACAGCGGCAAGTTATTTCCTACTGTTTTCTACGAAAATATTGTGCAGAAATGGAAGGCTTAGCACGATCTCATATATCTCACTTCTCCGTCACACATTTCTCATTGCTAAGGACAAACCACAACAAAACAATTGATTGAGCATTTCTAAACACATCTGCTTTGCTAATCTAATACAGATTAACTTGATCTGCTCCAGTGCCTAGGCTAATACAGGCAGCCCAAATAGTTTGAATAAGACCCCCAGCACACATGACAGTGCCACAATTCACAAATACCACGGGGTCAGAAAAATTACAAAAACAAATTCATGCATTTGTGTGTAGTGTACAGAACACACAAAGGGGAAAGCTTTTAAAACACTAAATTAAGATACCAATATATCATAGTGACTCGAAGCAATCTATCAATCAGAACCTGAAGGAACTTGGATGCTACTTAAATAACTTGTAGACCTTGCAGCCGAGGGCTTCGTTGCAGTGGAAGCTGACATTATGAGTGCCGACTCACTTAGCTGAAGTAGCGGTAGCCATGAGAGAGTGAGAGAGGTGAAGGGGAAGGTGATGGTGGTGGCTCGGGAAGACCAATGGTAGCATGTGCTTATGATAACAGTATAAGAAAGAAGAATTGAAGACTGAAGGAAGAAGATGAATATTGAAGAAGAAAAAGAAAAACTCAGGGAAGAAGAGAGAATTTGCTTTCTGTTTAATCTTTCAATCGTGTTTTCAATTACAAAGAGATATAGTTTTTATATCAGATGTTTAGCCTATAACTAATGCTTAACAGACTAACTAATTACAGCTGTGACATGTGAGCCACACGTGCCAACACTAACAAACTCTTAGCTAACTATTACTGTTATCATTCCCCCTCAAACCCAGCTCTAGGTTGCCCAGCCTCATGTTTGCACAATGACTCAAGAAAATTGGACTATGTAGTCCTTTAGTAAAGACATCAGCTAGTTGTTCTTGAGTAGGAATATACTGGACAGTAAGATCATTCCTTTGCACCCTTTCGCGCACGAAATGGAAATCAATGTCGAGGTGCTTGATGCGTGAGTGATATATAGGATTAGAACTAAGAGCCAAAGCAGACAAATTATCACATGAAATTGTAGGAGGCTCAGGTAAGCATACTTTCAAATCCAACAAGACCTGTCGAATCCAAGGATTGAAATATCGGCCGATACACCGATATATCTGCCGATATATCGGTATTTTCAACTATCGACATCGATACTGGGGGGTAAGGCCATATCTTCCCCTATATCGACGATATATCCCCGATAAGTGTGATATCCTCGATATTTTGCCGATATCCCCGATATTTCCCGATAGCCATAACAAAACTCAAAAAAAATTTAGAAGTTTTGAAGGCAATTGAAGCAAATTGGAACCCAAAAATAGCTAATCTTTGCCCAGAACCCTATAATTTACTAATATGAAGAATCTATGCACAGTCCACTGCCTACATACCTCCAATCCATCTGAAGAGGACATGGCGATCAGTTGATCTATGAGCATAGGAACTAGACCTAGTACTAACTCAAATGAATCTTATGATGGTTATGTCATGTCTGATTATAGGGGAACTAGTTATGGAGCTCAAGATGATAAAAAAAGATTATGGACCTACTAGTTGGTTAATCCTAACTATCCTATATATGGGAGGACAATAGGGATCTCAAGAGAGACCTATGTGCACCATGTTCAAACATGGCGTACAAACTGCTCGGGTTACATGACTTGGTATGACTATTGTACGAATCTAGATGGTTGTTCCTCATGGATTGAACCTCATAGGAGCTCTTCATTTATGTAAATGGACACTTATCTAAATTGTAATCCAATGTTTAAACAAACTACGGATTTATACATGGTTTATTCATTCTAATTAACATTTTATTTTTGAACTTTTCATTAACGCGCATTACATACCACTTATATTTCATCATATGTATATCTTATTATTAGTAAATTTTGAGTTTCATTTGTTCAATACATTCATTGATAATGTACATAACATCTATGAAAGTTTTACACCAATATTATGTGTTTCAATGCCTATATCTGTCATTTTTGTTGATTTTTTTCCGATACCTAAAACAATAACGATATATCCTCCGAAATATCCATAAATTGGAGGCCCGATATTATCTGCACGGCCGATATTTTAATCCTTGGTCGAATCCAAGCTAAATCTGCAGCTGTATTGGCCAATGCCCTGTACTCTGCTTCAGTCGAACTTCTAGACACAGATCCTTGCTTTTTAGATTGCCAAGAAATAGGATTATTTCCAAGAAATATCACAAATCCTGTGGTAGACCTGCGTGTATTCAAGTCTCCAGCCCAGTCTGCATCACTGTAGGCCTGCAGATGCCAAGGGCCTGTAGTGAAGTGAATGCCATACTGTATGGTACCTTGAATATACCTTAATATACGTTTGACCAAATCAAAATGTGCTTCTGTAGGTGTAGTCATATACTGACAAACAGTATTGACAGAATATGACAAGTCTGGCCTTGTGAATGTCAAATACTGTAAGGCACCTACAAGACTCCGATACAAAGTTGGATCAGTTAATGGCTGCCCCTCTGTTCTTAATACCTGATTATGTGGCTTGCAGGGAGTTGGACAAGCTTTACAATTGGTCATCCCTGCTTTATTTAACAACTCCTGAGCATACTTGGTCTGATGAACAAAGATACCTCCTGTGGAATCATAAGACACCTGAAGACCTAAAAAATATGCAAGTCTGCCCATGTCTTTCATGTCAAATACAGCTCCTAAATCATCAATAACTGTTTGAACCAACTGAGGACTTGAACCAGTCAAACTAATATCATCTACATACAGTAGTAAAATCACAATATCAGAACCTTCATGCTTGACAAACAAGCTTGGGTCAGAATGGGAAGACTTAAAGCCTAAGGCTGGAAGATAACCTGTAAACTTGGCATTCCAAGCCCTTGGTGCCTGTTTAAGGCCATAGAGGGACTTGGCCAACCTACACACAAACTCTGGATGCTGGGAATCTTCAAAACCTGGAGGCTGCCGCATGTAAACTTCCTCTTCCAGATCACCATGTAAAAATGCGTTCTTAACATCTAACTGACGCAAACTCCACTTATTCATGGCTGCCAAACTAAGTATCAGTCTCACAGTTGTATGTCTAACAACTGGGCTGAAAGTTTCACTAAAATCCAGACCCTGTTGTTGGCTGAATCCTTGTGCCACTAAACGAGCTTTATACCTTGCAATTGAACCATCGGCATTGCGCTTGATTTTGTAGATCCATTTACTTCCAACTATATTTTTCCGGGAAGGACATGGCACTAGAGACCAAGTTCCCTGCATTTGTAATGCTTCAAGTTCTTCATGCATTGCTTTAACCCAAGCAGGAGATTGAGCAGCTATGCGATAAGACGAAGGTTCATCATCTGCAGCAATAACAGGAATGGTAGTATGGTAACATTGATAATCTGAAAAAGGTTTCAGTTTGCTAATTCCATTCTTAGCCCGAGTTTGCATAGGATGTGTATTACCAGATGGAACAGAAAGAGCAGATATATCAGAGACAGAAGATGAATTAACATCAGATGCAGAAATGACAGGCACAAGGACTTGTAATTGATGAGCATTTAAAACAGATGCTATAGAATCTGAAGTACCGCATGAGAAATGGAAGGACTAGTGTCTGCCGGATCAGAGGCTGCAAGATCATATGCCAAATTATCAGCACCTTCTACAGAATTAGGAGTAGCAGAAGTTGTCACGGGAACGAGAAGTGGAACCCGGATAGAAGTAGACTGTGAGGGCATGGATAATACCGGAGAAATAGATGCCGGAAGCCTCTTAAAAGGATGACAAGTTTCATCATGGATAACATGCCTAGATATCACAAATTTGCCCGTGAAAGGATTATAACAAATGACACCTTTATAACCTGGTGCATATCCAAGAAAAACACATTGAGCTGTGCGAGATTGAAGCTTATGCTCAGTATAAGGTCTCAAATATGGATAAATTGCAGTGCCAAACACCTTAACATGTGTGATATCAGGAACCAAGCCAAAAAGTCTATAATAGGGAGACTGAAGATCCAAACCTTTACTAGGCATCCTATTAATCAAATACGCAACATGAGCAACGACATGAAACCAAAACTGACTAGGAAGATGAGCAGCAGTCAAAAGAGTAATAGAGGTTTCAATAAGATGTCTATTCTTCCTCTCAGCTAAACCATTTTGCTGAGGAGTGTATGGACAGGATAATTGATGTTCAATGCCCTTAGAAGCCAAATAATCAGTGAACAACCTACTAGTAAACTCCCCTCCCCCATCACTTTGCAAACACTTGACAGAAGCAGCAAACTGAGTAACAAGCATGGCATGAAACTTGAGAAAAGTAGCATAAACTTCTGATTTATTATAAAGTGGATACAACCACATATAGCCAGTACACTCATCAACAAAGATCACATAAAACCGAAAGCCATCAACAGATTTCATCCTAGAGGGACCCCACACATCACTATGGATTTTCTGAAATGGAATGGTAACTTTTACATGATCTGTAGGAAAAGGAAGTTTATGCATTTGGCCATGAAGACAATCAGAACACACGAAAAATTGAGAATCATCACAATAGGGAAGTTGAGCAGCTTTGAGCATATACTTCACCACTTCATTAGTTGGATGACCCAACCTGTGATGCCACAATGAGGATTTAACCTGCTGACCAAGAAACGCAACTGACAGAGACATAGACCGCTGAGAATGTTGTATGGGAGATGGTACAGAAACTGAAGATTGCAGAGACACTGGTATTGGATAAAGCCCCTGGCTACTCTTGCCTTGGAGCAGAATTTTCTTGGTGAGCTTGTCCTGCATATAAAATCCAGAAACATCAAAGATAATATTGCAATTGTTATCTATACACAGTTGATGCACAGATAAGAGATTAGCCGTGAGATGTGGAACATGAAACACGGATGGAAGAGTTAAAGAAGAAAGCTTAGCAGTTCCTATATGACGGATTTGCAAACCTTCCCCATTGCCAACAGTCACATTCTCAGCAGAATCACAAGCAGCCACATTATTCAGATGATCGAGAGTAGAGACCATGTGATGTGTAGCACCACTATCAGCTATCCATACTTGATCAGGATTGTAGGTAGTCTGAGCAATCATTGCAGTCAAGGATGAAGGAGGAGATTGACCTTGAAATGCATAATTGGAGCGGTGGTAACAATCCAAAGCACCATGCCCCTTCTTACCACAAATTTGACACTCAATTATCACAGAAGAAGCAGTAGAATTAGGAGAAGAATGGCGATGGTAACAATTAGCAGCAGTGTGCCCACGCTTACTGCAAATTTGACATTCTGGAATTGCAAATTTATTGGTAGAGAAACCATTGCGAAATCCAGCAGAGGAAGGACGGAATTGAGATGAACCAAATTTACCAGAACCAAAACCACCACGACCAGAATTGCCGTTGAAATTAGGCTGAGGACCAGAAAATCGTGTGTTAGAGCCAGCATAGCCAACCAAACCCTGCACCGGTGTAGGAAGCAAGCCTTGACCAGACGAAGGACCATAGCTTGCAGACCTAGGAACAGAGTGTGAATTCGGAGCAGATTGAGAAGTAAACATTGCAAAATGTGTCACAACCCTGGCCTCAGCGGTTTGCTCAGCAACAAGAAGTTGAGCGCGGAAGTCTCTGAGAGAAAGTGAAGTATCCCGAGCAATTAACACCGTTTTGATGATATCATATTCCTGCGGCAAACCGTTGAGAGCAGCGATGACAAAATCGTCATCAGAAATCTTCACACCAACAGAGTGCAATTGATCACGAATATGCTTCAAACGAAGAAGGAATCGGTCAATCTAGTCACCACCCTTCTGCGTTGTCTGCATTTCAGTCTTCAGTTGGTTGATACGTGCTCGAGAAACTGAAGCATAGCGATCCGTAAGATTAAGCCAGGCTTCACGAGCAGTGCGACTTCCAATGACATACTCAAGAGCTTCATCGGAGAGAGAAGCAATCAGCAGACTCAGGAGAGCTTTATCAGTACGCAGCCAGTCTTTGTAAGCAGCGGTGACTTCAGAGGTAACACATTCCTCATCCAAAATCGCAAATTTCGGAGGAGCAAACACAGATCCATCAAGATATCCAAAGAGGTCGTAGCCTTGTAACACCGACTCAAGCTGATAGCTCCACTTCAGATAGTTGTCGTCGCTCAAGCGTATGGTAAACATGCCGAGAAGACTCTCAATCTTGAGAGAGGAAGTAGACGAAGAAGATGCCATGAGATTGAAGAACTCACAAGCAAAGAATTTAGGGTTTGAGAAGAATTTGGGGAAAATCGTGTAGAGAACAAGAACAGAGAATAAGAATAGAGAGAGAAGGAGGAGAAATCACGCAGCAGAGAAGAGAAAGAAAATCAGGATCGAGTCCTGGCGACTGATACCATGATAACAATATAAGAAAGAAGAATTGAGACTGAAGGAAGAAGATGAATATTGAAGAAGAACTCAGGGAAGAAGAGAGAATTTGCTTTCTGTTTAATCTTTCAATTGTGTTTTCAATTACAGAGAGATATAGTTTTTATATCAGATGTTTAGCCTATAACTAATGCTTAACAGACTAACTAATTACAGCTGTGACATGTGAGCCACACGTGCCAACACTAACAAACTCTTAGCTAACTATTACTGTTATCAGCTTAAACCCTCATTTTCCACTTTTAACACTTTAGTCCTGTCGATCCAAGTTGGTCAATTTAGTTGTGGGGGGGCAGTTCAGTCTACAAACAGCAAAGTCTGTGTGCTTAGGTATGCGTTTAACGGCAGTCGGCCTAGTATAAGGGCCAAGCATGCAGTGCAGGGTATCTAACGAGATTTTCAAGCTCTGCATCTTCAATAATGATTGTCCAGGAAGATAGTATACTTGTCTGCAAGTGTTGAAAATAATGCACATTTGTGCTTAAGATTTCAAGAAGGATCTAGAGAATTCAAGAGCTCACAATAAAGAAGTTGCATGGCAGCAAAGCAAAATGAATATGGTGGAATATTCTAGATAAAACCATATAGTTGTGGCTGGAGTAAGAGACCAAGTCCACTTGGTGATGTCGGCAATGAAGATTGAAGATTATTCTAGACAAAGCCAAACATATGTGGCTAGGAGAGATTGTCCAAGTCGGTGAGACTTGGGTAGTGGCGGCAATCAAAGCCTATAAATAGGCATGCTTATACTCATACAAAGTGGAGTCTAACAAAGAACTCCCAAACCATTAGGGAGCCAAGGGCTTAGCTATGTTAGAGAGCCAATAAGCTCATTAATCAAAGTGTAAGGGCCAAATAGCCCAAACTAATCTAAGTGAAAGGCCAAATAGCCCAAACTAATCTAAACCAAGTGTTGTGGCCAATAAGCCAATATGCTAAGTGTAGAAGGCCAATTAGCCACCACAATTCTCCTCCGATCTAATAAAATCACTTTGTTTCCCCTTCAATTCTAACAGCAAGTTGTCTTTTTCGGATAGTGATTGTGTTATGGAGGGTAGGGAATTCATCATTTTAGTATGTTGTTGTAGGGCCTCCCTCTGATGACATTGGCAAGTTATTGCTCACTGTAACTGGTTCTGCCATGAGCGCATGTTTTTTTCCTTGAGAGAATTGCCTGCTTGGTTGGCACTGGCAGAAACTGACTGAAATAGATTGGGATCAACGTCAGTTTGCTTATTTCAAGTGTTTTAATTGCTTTTCCCTGTCAAGAAAGAAATGCACCACATGTTTTCTTCCCTAGACGAGTGCAAGGAAATGAATGCATAAATTATTCATGAACAATGGCTTTCGGGTGGGAGGGCATGATTTCCTATAAGGAAGTTTTTCAAGGAGTTTAGGCAATGAATTAGCATCAGGAAGCAATAAGAATATACTATTTTCTACGGAGGTTTCTAATGATCGTGCAGTGTTCGAAAAACCGGCCTAGGTGGGGACTAGGCGCTAGGCGGCCTAGGCGGCCTGGGCGGGTCTGACCCAGAAAAAAAAGGCCATTTTGGAATGTCCAAGGTCAGGGACGAGATGATGATGGTGGCTCAGATTTTGGGGTGGCGAGTTGAGGATTGAAGGGGATGAGAGGTCGCAGGGAGGGCTGGAAGACGGCTCATGTTAGACTTGGGCCTCGGCTCGTGTTGATGAGAAAAACAGAAGGAGAGATGGGCTTTCAATTGGGCCTCTCTTTAACTAACGTAAGTTCTATATGTCAAATTTTGTTATCAATTTGAGCTCTTGGTTTCAGGCGAGAGAGTGAGAGAGAGAGAGAGAGAGAGAGAGATGTTTGTACTATATTTTAAGTAAATTTACGTTTTACCATGCAACAAGAAAACTCTCTGTCAATGAATAAAATTATTGGTACTATATTTATTTTTAAATATTCGTCTCTTTTTGTCTAACTTACTTTCATTTTTAGAAATTTTTGTATTGTGCTATACTAGATAAATCCCTCTTCACAAACCGAAAAATGCCGATAAGAATTCACATCAAGAAGATAAAACACACAACAATGGAGGTGAAGTAGCTTGTTGAAACCCAAAAAAACCAAGTATAGATGCACGGCTATTCTATATCTATATATATATATATATGTGGACCCACCTAGTCTTTGGGCACTCATTTGTCAAAACAAGTATAGCTGGGTGGCTATGCTTTTTTTATAAAAAGCAACTAAAAAAAAAACTAACTATAGCCGCAAGAGTATACAATTTATCTATATATATATATATAAAGCAAAAGGCAAAGAATGGTGAAACATTCAAAATACCAGAAAATGCCTTTGGTTAATGTAAACATTAAGAATTGAAATTATTAATTAAATGAGGATAATATAGTAAATTCACACTTTTCGTATTTTAAAAAAATAATGAAAATAAAAATCAGATAATGGATCCTATTTTTATAGAACATAACTACCCATTATCTTTTTTAATTCTAAAACAAATTAAAAATTTTTTTGAACTTTCGCAAGTGCGGAAGCACGTTTGAAGAGGCTAGTATATATAAAGCAAAATACAGAGAATAGTAAAACATTCAAAATACTAGAAAATGCCCTTTGTTAATGCCAACATTAAGAATTGAAATTATTAATTAAATAAGGATAATATGGTAAATTCATACTTTTTATATTAAAAAAATTAAAATTAAAAGAAAATTCAGATAAAGGATCCTATTTTTATGGAACATAACTACCTATTATCTTTTTTAATTCTAAAATAAATTTTAATTTTAATTTTTTTTTAAAAGGCCTCTAGTAGGCAGAGAAACGTGTGCGAAGAGGCAAGTATATATATAAAAGACCTGCCTTGCCTTTAGGCACCCACGTGTCAAGCGGATATACTATTTTTTAAAAAAATCACAAAAAAAAACAACAAAATAAAAACCGAGTGTTATTCTATATATATATATATGGACCTGCCTTGGCTTTGGGCGTGTCAAAATAAGTATAGCCGTATTTTTATTTTTTTAAATTCAGAAGATTCAGCAAAGCAGGCGCATTAAAAATTATAAATAAAAAAAAAAAAAAAAAAAAAAAAAAAATTGCTTTTGTCCTCGCTTCCAAGATTTATAATTTGTATGGTTATTAATTTGGGGATGTCAAGCCATTGCATGGTTGGAAAAAGAGCATTATCTCAGAAACTATATGAAACTCTAACCGGAATCCAAACAGGTCGTCTGGAGGACAAGCAGGGATGGACCATGGAGATCTACTAAGCTTCTCCTCCTCATTGTACTGATAGAACAGAATCTACCAAAATCACAAAAGTGGGTTGCTGGCCGGTCTCTCTGAATTTAACAAATATCGCTAGAATAGAATCCATGACAAGAATGATGAGTGTTCATTTTGTATTGTTGCAGGCTTGCAGCAGGGTGTCGAGACGATTTTCAACATTCATTTCCAGGCTAAGATTTGGAGCCATGCCTTCTGCTAATTTGCAAACAACTTCTAAATCCATCCAAAGGCAATTCACTAATTATTAATTAAATCTAGACCACATTTTATTGGACCTTTTTAAATTTTGTGTATTGGATATTAATTCTTTGTTTCTCTATGAAAATGTATAGCCATGATGCAGGGGAGGAGTATCCTGATGTCAATTGGGATGACCTCAAATTTGGGGTAATTCCAACTGATTACATGCACACCATGAAATGTTCCAAAGCCAAAGGAGATGACTTTTCACAAGGATATCTCACTCCCTATGGAAACATTGAGCTCAACCCATCTGCTGGAATCTTGAACTATGGACAGGTTAATTAGCACTTAGCAGCTCCCTTTATGGTTTTAATTAGTTTGAACCACAATGAGCCACAACCTACTAATTATATTTTTATGTATTAGTTGCAGCATTGGCGTATGTTGTTGCATCCAGCTGTGTTTCTAGCTAGCTAGCTTTTCTGTGACATGTTCTTAATATATGGTGTGCCATGATTAGGGCTTGTATGAAGGTCTTAAGGCGAACAGGACAGAAGACGGCCAGTTTCTGCTCTTTAGGCCTGAACTTAATGCTCTAAGAATGAAGATGGGTGCAGAGAGATTGTGCATGCCCATCTCCTTCTACTCAACCATTCATTGATGCTATAAAGCAAACAGTCCTAGCCAACAAGCGTTGGCTATTGACATTTTCACTTCGGACCCTGCACTTCTGGGATTTACAATTCGACTACTTGGTTTTCGATATGATTGCACCGGGTGTTTATAAATGCTAAGATCTGTTTCTTGATCACCTGGACTTATACACGTACAGGTACCACCTCTAGGGAAAGGAACACTTTATCTTAGGCCGCTGCTCATGGGAAGTGGATCTGTTCTTGGTATGGGGCTGGCCCCAGAGTATACATTCCTAATATTTGCTTCTCCAGTTGGAAATTATCACAAGGTGAGTTTAGGAAATTAAACCAGCTAGAGCATTAATTAAAGCAGTGCCAGAAATTATGATGAAGTTGGGCTAATTTGTTCTGTTTGTTTGAATTGCACGCACAATATTCATGACGAAAGGTGTTTAGTTTTGTGGTTGTTGTATGCATGTGATAGAGCAGGGCAGCCCTCAACTTGTATGTTGAGGATACTGGAGGTGTCAAGTCTATCACCAGTAAGTAAAACTAAAAAAATCTTTCAGTTTTTCTGATAACAAATCACACAAATTTGTTGCTTCTTCTTACTTCTGTGTGTTCCCCTGAAGCTTGCTGAGGATATTTAACACAAAATGAGGCTGCAGTTGCAATTATATCAAAATTGATCAATTTGAATTGTTTACTGTAGAAGTTGATTGTGTGGAGTTGTGAACTTTTTGGTTTTGTTTGTAGGTTTACCTAGCACAAAAGACAGGGCCGAAGGGTACTCTGATGTCTTACGCCTGGATTCTGTAACTGGAAAAAAAATTGAGGAGATTACAGCATGTAATATTTAATTGTCAAGGTATGACCAGTCAGTTTATAAATGAATAGATCAAGCTAGTATATCTATCTCCACACGTGCCGCATGTGCACGTGTTGATATCGTATTACGAACAGATCAAGCATGAAAGAGGTGTTAATTAGTTCATGTGGTAGAGAGCAAGAGAAGGAATAATTGGGTTCTAATCTTGCCTAGTTAAATTACAATGCACAGTTGTGCAAACTACAGACTATATCAGCATCTGCAGAGATCAGAACTTTCTTTATTTGCTTTTCAGGTTAACATAATCAACCATGTCTTAAATGCAAAGTTTACAGGGAACTGTTTATTTGTTGTAGGGCAATGTTACTTCAACTCCAGCAATATATGGAACTGTTCTTCCTGGAATTACTCGTAAAAGCATCATCGACATTGCCCTTGATTTTGGTTACCAGGTTATTTTAAGTACTCTTCAGTCATGACAAGCCTTAAACCAAAATTTCATAGCAGACTTTTAGAACATGTATGTTTTTTTTGTTTTTTTTTCGAACTGGTAGAGGAACGCGTAATCCCAGTGGAGGATTTGCTTGAAGCTGATGAAGCTTTTCTGCACAGGAACTGCCGTGGTTGTCATTGGTGCTGTAACTTATCAAGGCAAAAGGTGCAGTGCATTAAAAAAAAAATTATTGGCTTTTTTCCTCGCTTCTAATATTTATAATTTGTATGGTTATTAATTTTGGGATGTCAAGCCATTGCAGGGTTGAAAACAAAACAGGAAAAAGAGCATTATCTCAGAAACTATATGAAATTCACCAGAATCCAAACAGGTCGACTGGAGGACAAGAAGGGATGGACCATGGAGATCTACTAGCTTCTCCTCCTCCTCATTGCATTGATAGAATAGAATATACCAAAATCCCGAACAGGCCCCCACGGCTATAAAAATTAGGAAAAAAAAATGGAGTCTCGCCGCGCGGCTATACTATTTTTTAAAAACAACTCAGAAATTTATATAGAGAGAGAGAGAGAGAGAGAGAGAGAGAGAGCCGCTTTGCCTTTAGGTGTCTACGTGTCAAAATAAGTATAGCCTTATAAATTCAGAGAAACCGAGTATAGCCGAGCGGCTATTCTATGTCTAAATATATTAAAAATACCCGCCTGGCCCACGTGCCCACATGTCAAAATTAGTATAGCCGGTCAGCTATACTATTTTTGGAAAAAAAAACTTAGAAAAACCTGAGTATAGCCGCACGGCGATACTATTTATATACAGGTGCCTAAATAAGTATAGCCGTTTATAAAAAAAATTCAAAAAACCGAGTATAGCCGCGCTTCTATTCTATTTTTTCTGTCGGCAGTCTCCAATTAGTACACATACGTATCATACAATCTCTCACTCTCTATGTCCAAGGATTGAAATATCGGCCGATATATCGATATTTTCAACTATCGACATCGATACTGGGGGATAAGGCCATATCTTCCCCTGTATCGACGATATATCCCCGATAAGTGCGATATTCCCGATATTTTGCCAATATCCCCGATATTTCCCAATACCCATAACAGAACCCAAAAAAATTCAAAGTTTTGAAGGCAATTGAAGCAAATTGAAACCCAAAAATAGTTCATCCTTGCCCAAAACCCTATAATTTATTAATATGAAGAATCTATGCATAGACCACTGCCCACATACCTCCAATCCATTTGAAGAGGACATGACAATCAGTTTTGGATCTATAAACATAGGAACTAGACTTAGTACTAACTCAAATGAATCTTATGATGTTATGTTTATGTCATGTCTAATTATAGTGAAACTAGTTATGGAGCTCAAGATGATAAAAAAAAATTATGGACCTACTAGTTGGTTAATCCTAACTATCCCATATATGGGAGGACAATAGAGAGCTCAAGAGAGACCTATGTGCACAATGTTCAAACATGGCTTACAAACTGCCCGGGTTACATAACTGGTATGACTATTGTATGAATCTATATGGTTGTTCCTCATTGTTTGAACCTCATTGGAGCTCTTCATTTATGTAGATGGACACTTATCTAAATTGTAATACAATGTTTAAACAAACTATGGATTTATGCATGGTTTATTTATTCTAATTAACATTTTATTTTCAAACTTTTTATTAATGCGCATTACATACCACTTATATTTCATCATATGTATATCTTATTATTAGTAAATTTTGAGTTTTATTTGTTCAATACATTCATTGATAATGTACATAACATCTATGAAAGTTTTACAAAAAGATTATGTGTTTCAATGCCTATATCTGTCATTTTTGTTGATTTTTTCCCCATACCTAAAACAATAACGATATATCCCCAAAATATCTGTAAATTGGAGGCCCGATATTATCTGCACGACCGATATTTTAATCCTTGTCTATGTCACAATGTTTGTTCTTTTTTTTTTTCTGAATCTACATTTAATTATTGATTTCTATATTTCTGTTTCCTTTTCTTTTGTAGCATAATGATATTCTATTAGATATATATATTTGATTTCTTCTTCTTCTTCTTCCAATTTCTTTTTTTATATAAATATTTTAGGGGTACATTGATTGGTCAAACAATTATAAAAACTATTTATTAAAATGAGTAACAGAGGGTGTCAGCTACAATTTATATCTTGATCATTGTGATATCAACTTGCTCACATGAGATTCCTAGGGCACTAGATATAATTATTGATACCAACTACCAAGAAGATCAGAAAATTATTAATACAAACATCATTTGTCTAGTTTCAGACGTTGTTCTGCATTGATTTCCAGACTCAAGTTTGCAGCTATGCCTTCTCCTGGTTTGCAAACAACTTCTGATTCTATCCAAAGGTAATTTACTGGTTCTTAGTGTTAATTATCTCTTATTTGTTAGATATTAATTCTTTCTTTCTCTATGAAAATGTGCAGTCATGATGCAGATCATGAAAAGTATGCTGATGTGAACTGGAATGAACTTGAGATGAGTTTTCACAAGACCATCTAACTCCCTATGGAAACATTGAGCTCAGCCCATCTGCTGGAGTTTTGAATTATGGACAGGTTAATTAGCACTAAGCAGCAACAATTTAATAATTAAGTATAGCTTGTTCTGTCACATTTCTTATTTTTTGTGTATCCAACTTTGTGGTGGTGCCGTGATCATGGCTTATTCGAAGAACTTAAAGCTAACAGGCCTTAAGACTACATATAATTAGAAGTTAGAACTACTAAGTGACTGAATGCAAACACCAATATTGCTAGAATAGAATCCATGACAAGAATGATGAGTGTTCATTTTATATTGTTGCAGGCTTGCAGCAGGGTGTCGAGACGATTTTCAACATTGATTTCCAGGCTAAGATTTGGAGCCATGCCTTCTGCTAATTTGCAAACAACTTCTAAATCTATCCAAAGGCAATTCACTAGTTGTTAATTAAATATAGACCACTTTTATAGGACCTTTTTAAATTTTGTGTCTTGGATATTAATTCTTTCTTTCTCCATGAAAATTTATAGCCATGATGCAGGGGAAGAGTATGCTGATGTCAACTGGGATGACCTCAAATTTGGGGTAATTCCAACTGATTACATGTACACCATGAAATGTTCCAAAGCCAAAGGAGATGACTTTTCACAAGGATATCTCACTCCCTATGGAAACATTGAGCTCAACCCATCTGCTGGAGTCTTGAACTATGGACAGGTTAATTAGTTTGAACCACAATGAGCCACAACCTAATAATTAAATTTTATGTATCAGTAGCAGCATTGGTGTATGTTGTTGCATCCAGCTGTGTTTCTAACTAGCTAGCTTTTCTGTGACATGTTCTTAATATATGGTGTGCCATGATCAGGGCTTATATGAAGGTCTTAAGGCGAACAGGACAGAAGACGGCCGGTTTCTGCTCTTTAGGCCTGAACTTAATGCTCTAAGAATGAAGATGGGTGCAGAGAGATTGTGCATGCCATCTCCTTCTACTCAGCAATTCATTGATTCTATAAAGCAAACAGTCCTAGCCAACAAGCGTTGGGTATTGACATTTTCACTTCGGACCCTAAACTTCTGGAATTTACAATTCAACTACTTAGTTTTCGATATGATTGCACCAGGTATTTTACAATTCAACTACTTTTACTAATCGATATTGATACCGAAACTCAGTATATAAGTGCAAAACATGTTATAAAATCCATTTATTTATCGAACCTACAAAAACTCAACAATGCACTAGAACTACTCACCGTATATAAGTTGCAAGTAATGATGAACTTAAATGTTTTGAAGTCCTCTGCTATTACTACAATTAGTGTGCAAATCCAAGCCATCCATTACAGTGAAGTCAAGTGGGGATATTGACTGAATGGTTGAGATTAGTGCATCTCAAGAACTGAAGTTGAATTAAATTAGACAGGTAGGAGGGAAATTGGGCCAAGACGCCAAGTGCAAAGCAGGACTAGTTTTTATATGTAAAACCATAAGGCGCAAACACAGCAGCAGGCAGGCACTGAAGAAGCTTCACGCATTGCTCTCTCGTAGCAGATTGTGAGCCATTGCCTTTGCCCCCACAGCAGCAAGTTATTTCCTACTGTTTTCTACGAAAATATTGTGCAGAAATGGAAGGCTTAGCATGATCTCATATATCTCGCTTCTCCCTCACACATTTCTCTTTGCTAAGGACAAACCACAACAAAACAAACTTCAAAGCACATCTCCTTTGCTAATACAGATTAACTTGATCTGCTCCAGTGCCTAGGCTAATACAGGCAGCCCAAATAGTTTGAATAAGACCCCCAGCACACATGACAGTGCCACAATTCACAAATACCACAGGGTCAGAAAAATTACAAAAGCAAATTCATGCATTTGTGTGTAGTGTACAGAACACACAAAGGGGGAAAGCTTTTTAAAACACTAAATTAAGATACCAATATATCATGGTGACTCGAAGCAATCTATCAATCAGAACCTGAAGGAACTAGGATGCTACTTAACTAACTTGTAGACCTTGCAGCCGAGGGCTTCGTCGCAGTGGAAGCTGCCATTATGAGTGCCGACTCGCTTAGCTGAAGTAGCGGTAGCCATGAGAGAGCGAGAGAGGTGAAGGCGCAGGTGATGGTGGTGGCCTCGGGAAGACGAATGGTAGCGTGCGGTTAAACCCTCACTTTCCACTTTTAACACTTTGGTCCTGTCGTTTCAAGTTGGGTCAATTTAGTTGTGGAGGGGCAGTTCAGTCCACAAACAGCAAAGTCTGCGTGCTTAGGTCTGCGTTTAATGGCAGTCGACCTAGTATAAGGGCCATGCATGCAGTGCAGGGTATCTAACAAGATTTTCAAGCTCTGCATCTTCATCCAGGAAGATAGTATACTTGTCTGCAAGTTTGTCTTTTTCGGATGGTGATTGTGTTATTGAGGGTTGGGAATTCAGCATTTTAGTATGTTCTTGTAGGGCCTCCCTCTGATGACATTGGCAAGTTATTGCTCACTGTAACTGGTTCTGCCACGAACGCATGTTTTTTTCCTTGAGAGAATTGCCTCCTTAGTTGGCACTGGCAGAAACTGACTGAAATAGATTGGGATCAACGTCAGTTTGCTTATTTCAAGTGTTTTAATTGCTTCTCTCTGTCAAGAAAGAAATGCACCACATGGTTTCTTCCCTAGACTAGTTCGAGGAAATGAAAGCAGAAATTATTCACGAACAATGGCTTTCAGGAAGCTATAAGAATATACTATTTTCTGCGGAGGTTTCTGATGATCGGGCAGTGTTGGAAAAATCGGCCTATGCGGGGACTAGGCGCTAGGCGGCAGCCACTATGTCGCCTAGGCGGGGGCGGGGAAAAAAAAAAAAAAAAAAAAAAAAAAAAAAAAAAAAAAAAAAAAAAAAAAAAAAAAAAAAAAAAAAAAAAAAAAAAAAAAAAAAAAAAAAAAAAAAAAAAAAAAAAAAAAAAAAAAAAAAAAAAAAAAAAAAAAAAAAAAAAAAAAAAAAAAAAAAAAAAAAAAAAAAAAAAAAAAAAAAAAAAAAAAAAAAAAAAAAAAAAAAAAAAAAAAAAAAAAAAAAAAAAAAAAAAAAAAAAAAAAAAAAAAAAAAAAAAAAAAAAAAAAAAAAAAAAAAAAAAAAAAAAAAAAAAAAAAAAAAAAAAAAAAAAAAAAAAAAAAAAAAAAAAAAAAAAAAAAAAAAAAAAAAAAAAAAAAAAAAAAAAAAAAAAAAAAAAAAAAATGAATCCAATGCCTCACAGAGATTGACTAGCCTCATCACTTAAGATGACTTTATCAATCACATGTGAATATCGTGGAAATAAGCACTGCGCTTTCCTATTATGGAGTTGTCAAACAGATATCTCAACACCATCATTGTTACCACAAGATCAGATCTAGCAGATCTAGTCCACCTCTTCAAAATATATTGATCTGGCAATTCATGAAGTTGACGTATTTTGTGCAAATATGCCAAAGTATGGCTGCATGGGATTCCCAACTCTCAAACATATGACAGCTACATGATGCAAAAATCTGCATATTGTCATAAACAATCAGCCGGTTCTTTTTTCTTTTGCCATCCATATGTACAACTTTATATGTGCAGTGAGTGGCATTCTCTTCTGTAAGCTCAACATTGTTGCAATAACTCTCCCACAACTGATCTTGAAATTTATAGAAGTAAGTACGTGTGATATATTAGCATTTGTCTATCCATCATTATAGGGCACTTAGTTTTTTGCCTTCTCATTGATATCAGTGTGATCGGCCATCAATTGCAAGTGTCATTGGTGTAAAAAGTCCTCTATTAAATTGAACCATAAAGTCCACCAAGGAATTGTGTTTTGATACATACCTCTTGAAAAAGCATGCCCACTTTTGCTCGCGACTACTAGACATTCCACATGAGAAAAATGTGGTTCACATATGCTGGAACCCATTTAGACCGAATATTAAATATTGATTGCAACCATGTATCTTCATTTAACCCGTGTTCTCCAACAATACTCTTCCATCTCAAGTCAAGCTCATCTCTACTCTCAGAATCCCAAACGCATTCTCTAAATGTTGATAGTGAAGATACACTCGGGCTGGTCAGAGAATTATTTAAAATATGCCAGCTACAATACCTGTGAAATGTGTTTGGAAGAGCTTCTGAAATGGGCTTGTGTCATTGCGGGATCTTGATCAGTAATAATAATTTTCGGAGCATCACCTGGCATAGCCCTCAAAAATTCTCTAAACAACCAAATGAAGGAGTCTGTAGTCTCGTCACTAAGAATGCCCCAGAAAAAATAATTGTCTGACCATGGTTGTTTACTCCCATAATTGGTGCAAAGATCATACAAATCGATTGGTGTTGTAGGTGGTGTCGAAGATAATGAATGCATCACATAAAAACTTGTATGATTGCCTAGAGATTGCATCAGCCCAAAAACATCGAGTAATCTTGTGTTCAATATTGGTCTCAACCTTGAATTGAACCCTAGATTTTTTTCTTGCTCATTCATGAAATGATCAAACAACATTTTCTCCATCATGACCCTTGATCTTCATACGTCTATCTCTATTGGAGTTGTACATATCTTGTTGAGTAAAACCACATTTTCAATGCCTCCTGCTTGGTGCTAGAATGTCATATTGTTGGTGTGTGGATACATTTACTGATATTAGTTGTTGTGCTACAAGTTGATTAACACCAGAAATTTTCGACGATGAGACTTCAATAAGTGACGTCTTCGCGGGGTTTGTCATTGGATGACTATGAGCCTCTTCAAAATATGGTGACTACATATCCACCATATTTTGATTTAACAACTAATAGCCGCGCCGTACAAGACTCTCTGCCTACACACGACGCCTTTTTCAACACCACTTGTTTCAGTGACCAACTTCCTCTTTATTGCAAACGTACTCCTTCCGTATGACCTCTCCATCTTTAATCTTCTTATAGAGTAGGATCGAACGCTAACCCAGCTCCCTTGCATACTGATTGTAAAAAGTCATACACTTCTTCTAATGTTTCAAAATTGTTGACCTTGGAAGGAGTGAGGTCACCCAATTACTTGAGGATAGAAAATTGATACAGAAGGATTTGTTTCCGGATCAGTTTCCATGGGAAGTAAAATGCCATTATTAGATCCTGGGTGAAAAGCAGGTGAGAAAATCTGTTTAACCATAGAACCTGCACAGATACTCTTAATCAAAACATGGACAATATATATTATATATATATATATATAAACTAACATCTGTTTTTTCTTCTCAAATATCAATTAAGAGTAGATAAAAAATATATCATATGTTGAAATTTGTTTCTTGTCTTCTTTTTTTTTCCCTTTAAATCCAAAAGTATTAGATTAAGAAAGAGACAAGAAAAAACCTACTCTACTGCAAATATATTATGTAAGTGAAAATTGCATTGATTAGCTAATATTACAACCAACTCAAAAAAAAACGCGCGTAATTGCATGGTAAGTTGGTAACTACTACTCCTGTTTCTTCTTGGACTTCTCTAACAGCAGCTACAAAGATATCTTCTCCTGGAGGCGATAAAGTTCAATATATGGTTTAGACTAGACTACACTACACTCTAAAGCTCTGAGAGAATAAAAAACCAATGCTTGTAGGAAATGCACACACCTCATCAACAACTCCAGTAGGGAGCTTCCACACTCCCGTCCCTCGATACTGTCCACCCTTTCCTTGGACTACTAGCACCTAGCATTGAAATTTCACGAAGCCAAAAATTACAGCCAAGACAACAACATCATGGAAAACAATGAATATGGTCTCAAGCACTATCACACGGTCAAATGAACATTAAAGTAAAAGGATCACACATAACTTTTTAGACATTATAAGCCAATCGTAGTAGGAATATGTAAGTCCAGATAATCAAATAAAACTTTTTAGACTTTTACCCTGCATGCCATACACCCGCTACTCAGCTGAACTGTTCTAGGGAGGGATGGAACATAAACACACGCGCGCAAACAAATGAAGAGTGCAAGAAGTGAAAAACTACTGTAAATTGATAGTTAATGTGAAGCAGCAAAGGCTTAGTGCTAAACGTAGAGGTTGGAAAACCTACTCTACCGCAAAATATTATGTAAGTGAAGGCTGACAGTTTTGGCTTCCAATTCTCTGTAAACCAAATTTCACATCTTAAGGAACACAAAACTAAATAATCTAGGAGGCATACAGCCCATCATATTTAATATCATAATATGAAATTGTCTTTGTTTTTTTTTTTTCTTTCATGCCCATTAGAACTCAATTCAGATGTCATACACAACAGATATTCCAAAATTTTAAAAAACCATTACAAATCTGGAGGAGTGATCTTCAAACCCGTTAAAACCATATCAGAAACTCATCCCAGAACTCCAAATCGAAGAACCATGACGCAGATATGAAAGAATCAGAACCAATGATAACATACTCTGTCGCATAGATGGTGGGGTATTCTTCTTCAATTGACGATGGTGGGTCTCTTTTCTTCAACTGACGATGGTGAGTCTTCTTCTTCACGTCGTTTGGTCTGCGTGGAAAGGTCTCCAAGCGTTGGAGG